TTAAGTTTGAACAGCTAGCAGCATAGCTGACATTTCAAAAAATGCAGCAGAGAGAAAAACCCTCCGTACTTCATCGATATCTAATTGCATTATTAACTACATTTTTAAAAGAAGCTTTTAAAAAACTTACAAGTACTATCCAAGCGACGGCCGCCTTTAACAGTTTAATTTACTGAAGTTATTATTAGTTATCACGAGTCTATTACCATTCATAAGACGAGTGTACATATATAACGAATTCTTTAATTAACACACAATTTAAAGTTTTTAACTACTTCGTTAGCAACTTTAATAATACTTTTACTTTTAAAATCGCTAACATCTTGACTACATGCACGATGTCTGAATATAATGCTTGTATATACCTAGCGTGTCCACTGCACGTGAAAAATATACATTCAGACTGGACAAAGTCATAAAAAGCCAAAGCAAACAAATTTCATGTAAATGTTGTATTAAGGGGAATGTTGTTTTAGTGTAAATCTATTTGCTTTTGTTTCATTAATTATTCATACGTATATAGAAAGGCATCCTGTATTCTTAAACTAAAGATTTCTAATGAAATATTAATTCCACCTGTTTAAAAAACCTTCCACTGGAAAATACCCATGATAGGTATAAAACTAAACAAAAAATTGGTAACGGTACAAAAACAATTTCAAGGAGGTATTGTTGTTGTTTGTTTTAACAAACAATAGTTGAGTAATTGAAATAGGTAAAATTTCTGTGAGTAAATTCTCTTATGGGTGAATTAGCAAGGCATTTGGTGTTTTATGTGCAAACATATAAAAATGACTAAGTACTATCATTTTAAAAGAGTGTTAATTATTTTAAGTATATGGTAATGTGTTCTTTAAACAAAAGGGCTACTAACACAGAGTGGTTACTTGCACGGGGTGTTTCATAGGTATGATTCACTTTAACCACACTTTTCGTTGTGTAATTTTTTGTGTTTGGTATTCTCTGAAACACTTGAAATTTCGCACATTTTCCCATTTGCATTTTAATCTATGTGCAGATCTCGGATACACGTACTTACGAATGATTTAATATTTACACTCATGTTTGCGAGAATACAAAGATGGTACCATTACACGCTTAAGGGTACTGATGCAGAAATTAATTGAAAATAAATAAAGATACGCAGTAGCTGTGAAAGAAATCATGGCAAACACGTTAATGGTAAAACATGTGTGCAGAAGTAATTAGAATAGTTGACGCGTATTTCGGTAGCGGGTAACGAGGCTGTTTCTAATCACTGCTAATTGTATGTTTTGTGGTACTCTGTATCTCTCTCAGCCCCTCTTCCCCACTGCGGAATGCCGCACTGAGTTGTTACTTTCGACCGAAGGTGTCAAAAGTAAATGTCGTGGGTTTGTTTGACTTCAGTTTATTCAGCGAACAGTAAATGTTTAGGAGTTATGACTATTAAATTTTATAAACCCAACTCGGTTTGATTTGAGACAATAACACTGGCTTTATTCAATGACTTTGATCCCCAAGGACAACGACTGAAATCAAGGACATAAAACTGCACAAGGCTGAATAAAAAACGTCGTTAAGGGGAAAATTATTCAATTTCCTTACTAGCCACCTAGTTGTAAGATATCGTTGTATAATAAAATGATCATGTCATAACATCAGACTTTTAATATGAACTCGTATCCCCGTTATTGATTTTGAAACATATAATATTTATAAAAATTAAAGACAATTTTTGGAAATATTTTATTACAGTCTTCACTTCCCGAAAAAGATTTAAATATTGTAACAGGACCCACATTAACAAACATATAAATGTTTAAATGTAAAATTTTAAAATAGCATATTAAAAAATAAGTTTCATAAGAGTTATTTTAGTGTACGAGTTCCAAAATTTGAAAACAAGAAGTTTTTTTCTACTTCGCACCTTTTTTTCATCAGAAAAAAAAATTGTTATTATTTTGCCATATTGTAACATTTGAAGTTTAAATTGCCAGAATAATAATAATTTATTACTAACAATGTGTGAAGCCGAAGACAATTTTACTCCCCTCGAAATACCAAGGAAAAATTTCCCAAAGTAGCACGCAATGTGTTTGGGCCTAGCAGTGTTTAAATCTAAACTTGTTCGAATACTCCAGAGCTCCACAGGTGCAGTTAGATGAATCAAGTGGCAATAAAACGGTTAGAGGTAAAAATAATTTTCAGCAAAATATTATGATAACCACCTTACCTGCCATTAATCTAAGTAACCAAGACACATCAAATGTTACGATTAATGTGTATCATAATCATAAATTTTTTTGGTAAAATTAAAGAAATTTGTTCCTTTGCATTATTTTATTTATTGTTTGAAAATGACATTTGTAACAAGTACCAATCTTCAAAACATCACCCTTTTTTTATCTTCTAAACGAAGTGTTTAAAAAATTAAATTTACAGTATCAAATTTTATGACTTACCTCACTTATTTACAAAATATGAACCGAAATGTGTTTATTCATCCTGAATTTAAGTAAAACTTATACGATATTTCAAAAACTTTAATGGATGATTTAGCTTAGTTTTGTGGCAATTTAGGATCAAACCAGTTTTTATATTTCGACGACACGAAAACAATATTTCTGGACGTCGTTTTACCTATAAATTAACTTTTTCAGTTGAATAGAGCAGTAAAAAAACGATCGAAAGTTGTTTCGGCAGAACTTCCCTGGTACAAGTTTGCGGTGGCGTCATCAACATTTTTACAAGGACACGTATATCAGCTTGGATTGGTGCAGTATAATACTAATAATAACAGTATTGTATTTCCAAAATTTTCTAAGAAAATGGAGCGAGCCGTTCCTGATTTAATCAATAAAATAAATTGACTCATTAATTTTTTTTTGAGCCACCTGTTTAAGCAAATCTAAAAAATATGAATACAGTGATAAATCACAAGTAAAAACTCGTCATATTTTCCACATTTTGGGTAGAATTTATTCGGCAAAATTTTGAGATGGCGTCATCAATTTTTTAGGAGGAATAAACGGGTTTTGATTGACAATTTACCATGCTTACAATAACTTTAAAACATCTCGTTAAGATTTCAAAGTATTCAGTTTTGCAATTCTTGATTTATTCAATAAAATAAATTGACTGATTCATTAATTTTTTTTGGGTAACCCTCTATAAGCAAAGCTGAAAAACGAGGTTCTTAAATTGATCAATAAAAATTGGTCGAAGGTTATAAGTATAATCCGATAAATCCAGTTCTTTCAAAAAATTAGAAAATTTGATTTTACGATTTTCGTTTTGTGATAACCGCTGTAAAGTAAAAGCCAGAGGCATAAATAACACTCCTTGTCCTTCAGCACTAGGTAATAACAATCTGAAGCTCAAGTGTTTATTTATGTTTATATCTACATCGAAAGAAGTCACGTACAAATTAGTTTGATTTGAATGAGTTTGTCTTCTCAAAACACAGGACTAAAATTGTTCATTAAACCACAATCGAACAAAATGTTCTGAAAATTATAATTCTTATTTTATCATTATTATATAACGACGTGCTTATTCTTCACATTTTCGAGAAAATGGGGTGGGAATAGACACACAAATTTTGAGAATAACCTTAAAATATCTGCTAAATTTCGCAGCAGTTGATAAGTTAGTAAAATTCAGATTTTTTTTCAAAATGAAAAGATGTATCTAGCAAAATTTTGAGTTGATGTTAGAAAGGTTTGAATGCATAAACAGTCCGTTTTGTAAGTATTTCCTAAGATAGATTTTCAAGTTTTGTACGGCACTGAATTTTTCTGAAAATGTAGATATTTAAGATAAATAAGGGTGAATTGATAAACCACATAAGGGATGTTCGGTTAATAGTCATACAAAAATGATAAGATCTTCTATGGGGTCTGCCTAAATTGATTTGGATGAGGGGATGATACAAAGAGTAGATAAACTCGGATACATGCTTTTAACTCTTTTAACTGTGGCAATAGATTTATGTCGATTAACACTACTTAGAATGAGAAGGCAAAAAAATAACAGTTCTCAAAAGGAGCTGTGCACTTTTATTTAAATTACGTAAATAGAAAAAAAAAAAAAACTATTAGAAAGAAGTAAGTAGTTATTTAAAAGAAAATTTTTGGAGGACGAGGACCAGCAACACAAACTACTCCAATAAACGTTAAAAGCCAATTCTAGTAAGTTTGAGAACATTATTAAAAAAAAAATTTGACAAAGTGAACTGTTTGCAATCTTAAAGTCAAACGATTGGGAACCAAAGTAAATAAAAAAGAACAAGCAAAATGGCGAAAAATTTACAAAAATAAGCTTGTTTTTGTAGGGAAATCAAACGGTTCCCAAGCACCCGAAAAAAATTTTCGGCACTGTGCAAGCAAAAGTCCATTCAAAAATATAACAAAATTTAAAAAGATGTAATAAAACTATTGAAGAACGTTTCGAAAATTCAGGAAAAAATTTTGGACAGTCTGGAAAAAACTGCTGATTATAGTTTACCACCGACTTAGTCCTCATAACTGACTTGGTCCTTTATAATAACATAACACTTTTGTTACATCATTGTTAAACATTTCATTAAAAAATAATGTTTTCACCTAACATTTAGAAATGACGATATCAAATTATTGGTGCGAATGAACAAACAAATTTTTGTTAGCGTTTAACTGTCTAGACGATAAAGTATACACCCAAAATTCCAAAACAATCCCTGCAATCAGTCTCGTAGTTTTGGAGGTTAAAATAACGCAGAGGTAAACGACAAACTCAAATATTCATAGTCGTTACTTAATACACATGTAACCAAAACGTACATATTTCTTGCTACTTTGTAATGTCTTTGTAATCTCTTATTAATTATAGCAAGTTATTTTTTTAGATAACTTTAAACCCATTTTAAATAAAAAGAAAAAATTTGATTTCAGTTGCTGAAGGAAATGCTTTCTTCTTTTACATTACCAAAAAACAAATTTAAAGCCGACATGCGACGCTATGAATACAAAAATTCTTACCTAATGAATTAAGTCCATAGTGAGCTTGGTAAACGGTACTTGCAGCTGCCGTACTAATTGGCAGCGCCGGACTCAGTCCCGAGCTTTGGTTGAGTTGTCCTAAAGACTGGCCGAAACCGCTCATAGAAACTGAACTTTGACTAAGTTGTCCCAAACCTGTAATATACCGAAAAGAACTGTTTCACCCATACGAAAAACACTTACTTTATTATTTACAAATATTTATTTAGGCTTACAAGAAACATACCTGTCGCCATTCCAGCGACTCCCCATCGTGACTCCGACGTACTAAACATGCTGGACCCACAGAGTCCATCACCCATTGCCCCGAAAGGGGGAAGGCCGTGCGAAGGTAAGAGAGCACCTGGAGTTCGGAAGACGTTCGTGGTCTTCTTCCGCTTTTTCCACTTTGCACGGCGATTTTGAAACCATACCTGCAATAAAAAAATAAACCCTATATTATATTAATCTGGAAAAGATACATAAATTTATATACAAAAGCTTCAAATTGTCACCTTGCAAGCGGTTTTTTAAAAAATCTCGAATACAATTTCGTTTGTTGCACAAAAACTTATGTGGCACTTACAATTTTTAATTTAAACACGTAAAGGTAGCTTTAGCGAGTTCTAAATGCGTTAATGTGATTAATGTAGGTAATCTCATACTTATTCAATAATGCATGAAAAGATAGCTATCATTGTGGTTTTTCATATCATGATTAACTATGTGGTAGTTCATTTATTTATATGTACATTCAACACAATTAACATAAAAATTATATTGGTGGAAATAACCCAACTATAAAACTTTTTCTTATCCTATCTTATACACTTTGTGTGAGACAAAAAAATCACCAAATTTTGAATATGTCGTAGAAATTTTATGTCAAATTGAAAAAAAAACAAAATTTTACAAACCCCTTTTTCTGGATGAAACATGGTTATTTAATAAAAGTAGTATATGTAAATTACTAAAGGAGCGTCTCTAATTTTTTAGGCAGTCATTATCAATGTTAATTCCGTTTCAGATGATAATCATAGTGAAGATGATGACAGTAGCGCTGATGATTTGAGTTGTGCTAAAAATTAATTCTAATAATTAAAGAATAAAACTTATAATTATTCAGATAATTTTAACATCTACATGTATTTTAATGCACTGAATTTTGTTCCGACGAAGCTCCAGTGCTGCCTCGTAGAATATATGTAATTGTTTAACATTAACACAACAAATAATAAAAACTAGAAAAAAATTAAATATTGAGTGAAGGATTAAGTCTGAGAATATAGAAAAAAATCACTAACACAAAGTACTTGGTTGTGATACAGAGTGTATACAGATGGCAGTTATTTTAAAAGAGACTTCGTCTTTTGCCTCTTCATCGTACATACCAGGAACCGCAGTTAAATTGTTACTTGGTAGCGTATCAAAGAATGAACGCATTTTTTTAGACAGTCCATATATTTCATTTAACGCTAATAACTGCGCAAATATACACAACAAAAGAAAAAAGAGCTTAATTAGCGCTACTAAATTTAATCAAAATTTCCTTCCAATAATAACGTCTTTCCGAAAGCAAGCAAATTGTACTTCTTTGTGAAACAAATCGGCTATAGAGTATGCGTGAAATAATTTTTAATAGAGGGTTGATCACCCAAAGTCGCATTATTGAGCGGCCTCGCCCGTGAAAGCTGACGTGCCGGAGCGCGTCCTGACATTCCCCAAAGCCTCCACCCTCTTTGAGTTCAAATTCTCCGAGACAGCTGACTCGATCCACTTTATGAGAGCTCAATTGATTCCGCGATTCCATTTTGTCGCCGGTGAAATTTTCTCGAATTAAAAAAAAATCTTCAAGCTAACCGAAAGAGAGAGAGTAGTGATAAACGGTCCCAGTTGATAAAAGATCAATGTGTGGAAACGGTGTATAAGCGACGCACCATCATTCAAAAACTGGGGGATATAAATCTCGACGGACCTCCGACTGGCCAGATGCGTGCTTTACCAAAGGCGAAAAGCTAATGGCGTTGGATTATTTAGCATCCATACGTCTCTTACCAATGGATAACCACTGTCATGTGGCCCAAGAGATTTCCCGAGTTTCCCCAGATACCACTGCACGAAAGTGAAGAAATATGTTCGTAGGTCACTTCAGATTTGGGCGAGACTCTTAGGTCTGAATTCATCTATTTGTTCCACTTTAATTTTTGCCCTTTTGTCAAAACGGAAACAAGTTCAAATTCTCATGTTCATTATATTATACTTAGTATTAATTTATTACTGTAAAGATGACAGTTTAAAACTAAATATTATTTTAAATTTTTAGTGGGAGTTTACTTTGAAAATCAGTTACAAATATACTGTACATTTTACATAAAATTAGTTACGCAGTACAACTGCTGCCGTCAAGAGTGGTAATATAACTAATAGGATAATAATTAGCTCCACCAAACTGAAGGAATTGGTTACGTGTTCTCGAAAGTTAGTAAATTTTTTATCAAACCACCTCGGTATTTAGTATGCGTGAAATAGTTTAACAGAGCGTTGTTAATGGTTTTGGATTATTTAACATCCATCTATCTCATATCACTGGAGAGCCACTTTGACACAATCAAACAGTTTGTTCGGGTTTCCCCAAATATCAGTGCACGAAATTGACGAAATATGTTCATAAAAAGACTACGGGTAATTAAGTACATTAAGCTGAAAAAGTTTATCCAACATAGTACATCGCTAACAGTTTAGGAACTTTCATAGGTATGTAGTAATTTGTTTATGAACCGAATGTGTTTCAATCAATGCACAAATATAGAATATATTACGTTGCTGGAGCGTTTTTGGTCGGTTTCCAGAGTCTGTTATGATATGATGTGTAAAGAACCAAAATGGATATACGGTGGCAAAAAACCTTCATCCTAACATTTACATCGAATGTGGCTGTCTGGAGGGCGTAATGCCGAACAAAGAGTTTAGAACATTCTATTATGCAAATACTGGAATTATAATATTAAATTTATTTTGAACAGAAGAGTAAAAAAGTATTACTTAATATAAGACTTCCTCTGTGGTTTCAATTAAAGATACAATTTCAGAAATGATTTTGACGACATTGCTTACTTCTAGATAATAAGTAATACTAGTTTACACGACTAACTGTACATCGATTATGTACAGAATAATTCCGACTCGACAGGAATGGATTTGAACTAGACTCTAATTTTCTATCTAAAAAGTCACGCGTATTCTTCCAGATCCAGTTTGCAATAACCGCTTCGAGGTTGTTCTGGAGCCCGCGTCGGCGATGATGAGTCACCGGATCGCCACTAGAAAACCCCTAGGCATCCTATCCGGACGACGTATGGGTTTACTTCGTAACAATAGGGTAAATGTGTACAAGAGTACGCACTTAGTGTAAAACTGTCAACAACTTTTTAATTTTTTTGGATAGACAAATTTTATGATATGGGTTCGTTATATACATGTTTAGAGATCAGATATATTTAATTGTACGTCCCAAGATCGCTATATTTTAAGAGTAATTTCAATTTTTGTCAAGATGTGTAAATGCGCACTCTTAGACAGTTCATTGCACAAGAGTGCGCATTTGAACGCTTATGAGTGCGCATTACATTTTATGAAAAAATATTTGTTTCTAAGGTGAAAATAAATGGGAATAAGTGACTACAGACTACACATAAAACGGGAGTTCTATTTCTTCGTACTCTAGGGGTCTTGAAAAGTCGAGAAAACGTAAAAATAGAGAGTCGATCGACGGACTCGATTACAACACGCTCAGGAAGTAAAAATAAAAACAAAATCACCATAACCACCACCACACAACTTGAAAAGCAGTACAAAGTAGTAGAGTTAAATAATTCATTATCGTATGATATGTATCTCCAAGACTATTAGACTACGTATTGAAAGCAATGCCCACTCTTATACAATACCTCTCTGCGCACTCTTGTACATTTGTACATAACCTAATGTTTTCAAAGTTAAAAGCTTTTGATGGATAGAAAGTATAAAACTGTTAGTGTATAACGAGACCTTAAAAGTTACAACTAATGAAAATTATTACTGTAAAATAAAAGACCTGGTACGTACCTTACAAAAAACTAAAACTATGAGCGGTAAAAATTACATCCACACAACGTGCGAACATAAAATCGTCAGTACGACCAAACTATAAACTATATTCAGGTCACTTTTGCACCTTTATCTCAGGTTTAGCATTAAATTCTGAATGGTATAACTTCATCTTACCCAGATGGCACTAATAAGCAGAAATCATGACTGCGTACTCTTATACATATTCGCACTCTTGTACACATTTACCCTATTCTCAAATTGTAACCTCCATAGTTTAGAACACTACAGCATTAATAAATATTTTTGCACATCCATTAACTATTATTTTAGGACAAAATTTCTGGTTTAATTATTTTCAAGCATAAGCAGTATACACTTTTTAAAATAACAGCAAATAATTTAACTACCGTTTTCTTAATTATTACAAAATTCCTCCAAATGAGTTGTTAATATTAATATTAGTACACAATACATGCTGCTACTGAAACCCATTGAACCGAAAATTAGTAACAGTAGAAAATTGTTTGAAAAAAAGTAACTTAAAACCCGATAACTTTTTACCACGAATCTGGACGAATGATTTAATTGGCCACTATGTCGCTTCAGTTTGTACAAAATTCATGTCAAAAAGACATCAAGAAAGCACAATAAAGCACTAACAACTCAGAAAAAAATACATTATTACCAATGGATACATCCACAGTAACGAAGTCTTCTCTCCGTCATAAAATTTACGATACCGTAAACTTTAAAAATTTTGTTATGAAACTATATTAAAAAAGTAGAACGCCCTTTTAATTAGTTTTATTTTAGTTGTAGTACATACTACATTTTGGAAGAATGTGCAGGATTACTACTAATCAGTATTAACGAAAAAGTAAAAGTGAAAATTGCTCCTTAAAAGCAAGGGCCACCACCACGTTCGTTAGCACAAGCACCATCAAGAGAAAAGTAACAGAATTTAATTTAATTCAACTTAAAGCGTATTGATCAGCTCCACAAGAACAGTTTAACGCCTAACGCCAGTAGAAAGAAGGAATCGCCGTCTTTTCACTTTACAAGTAAAAACAGTTGAGACATCAGGATTATTGTCAAAAATGAAAAATAACTGAGATTTTAAACCATATTTTCATGAAACTGTGCGTTTATGATGAAAACAATATACTGACATGACAAAACAAAATTTTTTGGTAGGTAATATAATATATACCATAATTTACAGTTCTGTAAAATAATTGTTCCAAATACTCTAAACTCTTATCAATATTTACTATCTGATCTCCACACATTCAAATTAAGTAGTTCATTGTCACGGTTATTAGAGTTCAGTTAGAGCTCATTCTAG